CCTGGACTTTTATGAAACCTCGATTTAACATTTCGATTTCAGTTTGTTTACTTTCTGCGATTTCCTCGCAGTATATCTTGTACACACGAGAAAGAGTTATTAACGCTCTCGTAAGTTCCGATAATAAGAGATAATGAAAAATTCTTGGAAGTAAAAGTTTGTGTTTGAATTAAGTTCATGAAATATAAAAATACAAACTTTTTTTATAACGAGAACAGATATCTTGTCCATTAATATTAATAAATATTAATTAAATAATTATTACAGATACATTGATATTCTGAAGATGTTATTTGTGTTATTTTATCAACACAATTTATGTCTCAATGTCAAATTAACACAATGATAAAAAGACTAAGACTAGACTCTTTGAAAATGAAAACTTATTTTAAAACCAAAAAAAATTACGCTAAGATTACTTCCATCGTTCACAAATAATAAATTGACATGCTGGACGCACTATTTTGTCATGAGTCGACTGCGGATCTTATGCATTTCTGACAAAAATGAATAGTTATAAAACAAAACTATGCAGTCATTAGATAAATTCCAAAACATTGTTACACTGTTTTAAATTTCTTAAATTTCTTAAATAACAAAATACATATCTATCTAATCTCAAATTCTTTCAAGTGACTTAGACAATTTTTATTTTGCATAAAAATCATGAGCAATAAAAAGTATATTTCATTCTGCGTTATGTGCGTAATAAGAATTGTTTCATTGGACTTTTATTAAATCGAAGGAAGTGAAGAAGAGAAAATAAAAGAGAAAGAAGTAAAAACTTTTTTTCTGAAATAATAAGAGAAATAATGATCTCTCATTTTCAATAATATTGTCAGAATTGTTTTATACGCATCTATACATGCAAATAGTATAGATGCAACGATAGAGATGTGTCTTCTCACAAATCTTGTTAGTCGTGTATTTCATATAGTTGGAACGACTGAAATGACTTTTGTGCGCTGAAGCGTGTTTAATTAATTAGTGAGCAGATCGCATTCAATTTAAATGAAATTGCAATCCGATTTGTTCCATTTATTTCTGTTATTCCGAACTCTAGTGGCCAACAATTTCATGATAATGGTAGCCATATTACTTACAGTTCATCTAATTATAAAAGCTAAATTGCAGCGAATCAATAAGTTTCGAGTATCTTCAATTTCGCGATGGAGATCTGATCTCTGCATATTTTATTATTTTCAGGCATAATATATATCAATAATTAATGAAAATCTAAAAGGATGAGGTCAAAAAACTAATTAATTATAATAATTATAAATATTTATATAAATTATGAATATATTAATTAATACTAATTATTATATATAAATATCATATAATATTATATTATATTATAATATAATATAATATTATATTATATTATAATATAATATTATAATAATATTATTATTATTTATACATATACAAGTATTATATAAATATATATCACAAATAAATAAATTTCTCATACGAATGATTATTATGAAAGAAAGCGACACACACACACACTTCCTTTTCCAAAGGGTTAAAAACACGAATTTCTCTTCTGAATACTTTCTCTGTATATTTTATTACTTATTTACGTAATATATATTAATAATTAGTGATAATCTTAAAGAGCGAGGATATAAAACTATATATTTCATACACACAATCAATAAACTTCTTACAGGAACGCTTATCAACATAAAAACCAACTTCCGTTTCCAAAGGGTTAAAAACACGAATTTCTCTCTTGAATACTTTCTCCTCGATACTCGGAGAAAGTACATAGAACATCCTGTACGGCTAATGGTAATAAACCTCCTACGTTTCATACGTACCAATAATAAAAACTGTAGTACAATTCGGTGTAATTAATTTCAATTTGGCCAAAGCGTTGTAAAAAGAATCAGGCTGAACGGTGGTCGATACAGCAATTTCTTCCCGTTAACCCACTACCGAAATAGAAACCCGTTTTCGGTTATAAATCACGTTGGTAATAATTGTTGATAATATCGAGACGTCAAAGAAGTTTGATTAAGTTAATTGGGATTGACGTGGTGGCCGTAATCGCGGTAGCAGGATTTTGTGTTCTTTTTGCCCCGTGACGTTAGCCTGATGCGTCGGTAACCTTATTACATATATGCTAAATGTTTGGGTATTCCAACGACGGCAATTATTTTTTCGTACATAGCGAATTGTCATAAAGAAGGGAAGTCGCGCAGTAAATGCCAGCGTAATTTCAAGCCGCGGCCAGGCCGCACACAACTTTTAAGATCCAAGTCGGTAATTTTACGACATAACTTAACAACCCTCTTGCGTATGTGTATGTATATATGTATATATATGTATATAATATGTACATAATATGTGTAAGTACATACTCGAAGGAGATCACATCTCGGCATATCACTTATGAAAATTACCAAATTAATTGGGCCGCAGTCTGTCGAAGGAATATATAGCTCGATTCCCATCCTTAACAAAACTTGTAAAAAACCTTACCAGTCGGCACGGGAACCTCCTAGTTTATTATGTATCGTATTAAAATCGTACATTTTCTAATATAGCAGTACTATCAAGTGAAAGTTGATAGTGTTGCCTGTCTAAAAATATAATATTCAGGTTCGAATGAAAGCAATGCACAAAAACGTGCTGCTTTACTATTTCGATAAACACTCGCAAATTAGACACCGAATGAATTAGGTGATGTACTTTGTACTCTAATGCAACATTTACTGAGCCCTAACTAGACTATTATTTTAATAACAGTGACAAGATCAGATTTGGTCTACTTTTTCTGCTATTCTGGATCTTCTTAGGAGATACTTTCTACTTCTTCTTTATTTTCTATATTGTTATTCACTACCTTTGCAATACAGCCAATTAAACATCGTACGATTTCTGTGCTAATGTATGCCGGAGTAAAGAAGTTTGTTAAAAAATTTCGTATAGAAAAACACGGTTACGATATCAGAAACTGTAAAAGAAAAAAAAAGCAGAAACCAGTCAGCTTAACAAGTTTGGTAGTTCTAGCGTTAATTCGTTTTTCTTAACACCTTTTAATTGATCAAACATTATCTGTCGGTAATCGTTCTGTAGTTCTGGAAATAGCTAATTTTAATAAGTTCTGCAATAGCTCTGGCAATTTTAACCGTAAAGTAACACGTAACCCTCAAGTAATATAATCCAATTCCTTCTTTTAGGTTTATTATTTGAAACAAGGTTTTTATGCCCTATTCTGTTATAGCACTATTAATAAACTTCCTGTCGGTGTAATGTTAAGCGAATGTAAGCAAAATTGTATAGATCCGAGCACGTAATAATCGATTTCCGATGCAAGTAACTAGGAATTATTTTCTCCAAAATAGATAATAATAATTGACGTCTATAAAATATACAGTTACATTTCACAAAATAACGGCGATCTTAAGATTTTTAAAACATTTCTACTTCCGGTGTAAACGCATGTATCACATGATCTAGTATTTGTGAATGTATTTAAATTGTTTATATCGCCGTAAATAACTGTATAATTAATATTGTTTTGACATAATAGTTCTATTAATACATGGATGCAATTATTAGTACAATTTTAATTTTTATAGTATAACATTAGCAAAATATAATAATCCAAAGGAAGTGATTAGGGTATGTTGTTTCACAAAATTTGAATTTTGTGAAATATATGTTAATCATCTAATATGCTAAGCACCTAATCATTGATTTTCCGATCATTATTTACTTGCCAGCATGTAAAGTATTACAATTTTTGGTTTTATTATTATCATTTTAGTTGAAAGGAAACTATAAAAATTTTAATTTGTAAATGAACTATTAAAGTTTTAGTTGTGAGTAAAATATAAAGTTTTAATTTTTGCATCGACAAGGTCATCAATCTAAATGGAATATATACAAATTGAGTGGAATTTATCCCCGCAAAAAGAACCATTCGAGCTTTTCCCGATATCTAATAAAAAGGAAAGCAGAAGGCAATCGAGACCATGAATTGCAAAACAGCGTTACGTCAACTGTTTGAAACTATACGAGTTATTCATATGACTGTTTCCAACTCATTCATAATTCAGTAACGTTTAAAAAAACATTTTTTGCTACGAGTGTAGTAATGAAATATTATTGCAACTCGTAAAGTGTATCTGTCATTGAGCAATCGAAGTTGTCGCTCATCTTTTGCGAAGTAGTACAGAGGTATGACGACATATACTGAAGAAGCTATGAACCACAACTGTGAAATTCTTATTTCAACAGTAGACAAGCGTCAAATTAGAAATAAAATGTGTAACATATAAATGTTTGTCGTATAAATTTTAGAAACAAATTTCGTAACATGCGAACGTTTCTCTAATAAGAAGAAAAATTTTGTAGCATACAAACGTTTTTCAAGTTATACATAAATTATTTAATAACAAACGTTACTCTAATTAGGAATAATTAGGAATAATGATCAATAATTATCAACTATGGGATGGTCTCGATTTATCCTTTCTTACACCCATCTTTCATACTTGATGTCGCTAAACAAAAAAGAACATTTATAAAGCCTTAAAAAAAGAAAGAAAAACAAATTCCATATAACAAGCCTTGTGCACTGTATCGAATATACACGTAATTTTAATCTGTCCTTAATTTACACTCTAATCTGTTCTGTGGTAACTTATCATCTGCAGGAAGAAACTATTTAATAGCAAACGTTTTTTAAAAATTAGAGAAACAAATTATCTAATAGTAAACGTTTCTTAAATTAGAAACAAATTATTTAATAGCAAACGTTTCTCAAATTAGAAACAAATTATCCAATGATAAACATTTTTCAAACTAGAAACAAACAATCTTAAAACGTCATAATAAACCAATAATAATAATAATAATAAACAAATCACCTAAAATGTCATAATAAAGTATTACTACTAATAAGAAAAGAATGACTTAAAAACGTCATAATTAACTACTTGTAACAATAAACAAATTGCTTAAAAATATCAGGAACAACTAATTAGCATCGTTAGAAATATAAATACATTCAGGCAGCGCGTACAAAATGAGAAAAAGATACCGTGTTCCAGAAAACGTTGATTGGTGTTTCGGAATGCGCAATTGTTTGTTTTTCCAAGTCGTATAGATCGCGTGATTGAGACAGATAGGCAAGTAATCGCGGCGAAAAGGGCAAGAGTAAATTAACATTTTCGAAGTTCCTTGTACTGTCGTGACGAACCTCGTAAATCGTCGAGCGTGAGGACGATTCGAGTGGATGCGAATTCAGGGACACTCGTATAATTAATCAGTGGCGGACGAAAGTGCACAAAACCTCGCCACTCCAGTGAAGCACCGGTACACTCGGCTCTGTGACTTGAAACGACATCGGGGCTCTCCGGGGATTCTGGTGTCCGTCGGAGAACCAGTTTATACGGCGACGTTAACGAGTGCCAAATTGCCCATCAATATTTAAAATTGATCGCTACACGATCCAAATTTTGCATACCGTTCTCAAGGACGCGCGACCAACGTAACGTTTTGCAAATGGACCGGTGTGCCGCGTCCCGCTTTGTTGCAAAGTGGATGGAAAGTGGCACCGCGACGAAACGACAGCACGCGACGCACGATGCACGGTGCACTTGCGAGCAAACCGTAACTCGAAGGTAATTTAACGCGTCAACTGCCGAATATCAGTTGCAACAACAATAAGTTTAAATTTACCATAGAAAATATTAGTTTAATATTAGTTTGAAATTGGTGAATGAAATATAAAATCTTAAAATACTGTTCTATCATTTTTAACATACAGTGAATCCCGTTAATATTCGGACACTTTTCAAAACGCAATAACAGTCTTAGAACTGGACTAAACAACTTGAATTCCTGTTTAGATGACAGAGCGACCCCAGTCTACTAGACCATAAGTAGAATGCTTTTTTTAAATTTTGCTATTTCTTAGAATGACAAAAGAAAATAGAAAACTCTCGCTTTTTAACTTTTTTATCTGAGCCTATAACAAAAATTTAAAAATTTTGTAGATCCCAGTAAATGCATGTTAAAAATTTCACCGAAATCAGTTGACCTTCGTATGAGCTGTAAACAAAGATCGCAAACATCGCAGTTTTGTCCCGATTTTTGACATTTTCGACCAATAAGTGTGAGAAATTTTCAATTTCTACAATGTTTTAACGCTCGTAACTTGACTTTGCGTTAACCGATTTCGATTTTCATGCATATAACTTACCGAGATCTACAGAACGCATTTTTAAAATTTTTGTTATACTCTCAGATAAAAATGTTAAAAAACGAGAGTCTTCTATTTCGTTTTGTCATTCCAAGTAATAGCAAAATTGTAACAAAGTAGTTTAGTCATTGTCTAATATACTAGACCCTCTGTCATCCAAAAAAGATTCAAATCGTTTATTCCAGTTTTAAAAAAGTTATTGCGTTTTGAAAAGTGCCCAAATATTAATGGGACTCACTGTATATACCAACTGGTAAAATGGTAAATAAATTTTGATTTATTTATTTAGTTATTAATGCTTTAAGCCAGATGGTTCATTTAGTATATACAGGATTGTTACATGTCTGTATGTCCAATATTACTTATTATCATTATTATTATTATTATTAGTAGTAGTTTCTAAATTCTCACTGAACATAGTTTAAAGAAATCATAAATTATTCTAAGCCCCCTGTCCGTTACAATTCAGTTAGAAAAATCTGCAGTCCTAGTTAATAAAAAGTAAAGTAAAAATGAATTTCAAAACCTAGTAAAAAATTAGTGACACCCATGTGTGAGCGACGCAGTCAACGTGTTAATCAGCTCGGATGTTCGTGCTTCGAGTTCGAAGTTGCACACGGTTGCGATCGGATGGAAATTCGAATTTGCAGTTCGAATGTACAAGCGCGCGGTTATGTATTGAAATTTCGTTCGACAAACTGGATGCACCTGAACGGTCGTTATGCGGCGCGATTAATATACTGTATTAATCATGTAATGCATAGTTACCTCGTCGGTGTAATTTCTTCCGCAACGGGCATCGCATCTGGCAACTCTGATTGCGTCATATTCTTCGATGTATCTTGTCCAGGATGCCAGGCATCCTGGCAAAAGTAACCACCAAGGCCACCATTCTACGCAAGAATTTAATCAGATTAACATGTGTTTAACAACGAAATAAATGCGCTCTCTTTCGCTTGCGCTCCTCGATTTTTGTTACCCGTTTGACGGGGATGTAAGTCGCTTTCGACGTTGATTGGGTATTTACAACATGGATATCAGCGTCGAAAATTGCTTCTCTCTCTGCGCAGTAATCGAATGAGCATAAATGTCAACGATTTTTATACGATGCGATTCAAGTGTAAAAGATTCTTTCATCGATGAAAATGTCACAGCCGGTCAATAGATCTGGTTCTGGATCACGCACTCGACCGGCGTGCTCGAACACTATGCGTGATTAATGCGCTAAACTTTACTGGCACGGTTCTTGCATTGCGTTAGATTTTCAGAGTGTAAGTCGGAACATTGGCCGGTTTGTTTATCACAATGCTGTGCGATTCGAGAACCGTGGCCACAATGCTTGCGATCGTCAAAATAAGACGGAAAATAATCCGTGACACGGATTCAAAATAATGGCTCGAACGTTCTTCAAAATCGAACTTTCCTCGATTTTGCAATTATTAGATTCCGAGGCTTTAAGCAAATTCTCATTTTTCATTGACTAGTTCTTGAACGTCTGTTGAACAGAAACAATTCTTACATCGACTAGACAATTCCTTGACATCTGTTCGTTTTCTTGCACTTTAAAAATGAGCATGTGCCATGAATGCATAAAGATCCGCAATGCTCTAAAATCGAACTTTCTTCAATTTCGTAATTATTAGACTGCGGATCTTTATGCATTCATTATATAAGTAAATTAGTAAAACGCAAGAAAATAACTACTACCATTGCTATGTATGTTATAAGAAACGTTCTAATTGATGTAAGAGATTCTTCTGTTCCTTAGACATTCAGAAAATAAGAATTTGCATAAAACTCCACGGTATAATAATTACAAAGTTGTGGAAAGTTCGATTTTAGAGAACGTTTCGACCAGTATTTTGAAACTGTGTCAACGAATTATTTTGCCGATCGCAAATATTGCGGCTCCGCGTTTCGAATATAACTGTTCTCTTTACCACGTGCCTCTACGTCTCGGTTGATAGTTACAATCCGGGCTTGAATTTCAAACATATTCAATGAAATTATGCTAGGCCGCAACCGAAATTTCAACTGATATATCCGAATGTATTTATATCGAAATCCTCGAACGTGATTCAAGCATCGGAGAACAAATTGAATCACGATTTGAAATATCAGAGGTTAAATTGATTTAATAACTGTATCTGTTGGTTGGAGAAAAGAGAAATGTCTAGTATCGTTGAAAATTATAACAGAATCCAATTGCTTGAATTAGTGTGTAGCTGTTAAATTGTTGCACTCCAAAATTAAGTAAAACACTCCTTCCAATCAACTGCTTGAACTAGTGAATCGTAAAATATTCAAAGTATATATCTCGTTATTTGTTACACATTTATATACTTACGTAAACAATCGTATCGCTATAATTATATGCAGTAGCTTCCATATTAGTACTAATTATTTATATATAAGTACTATATATAAGTATAATATTAATGATTTAATATAGCATAGTATACTTATATAGCATAAAAAAGAATATAGTATAGTATAAAAAAGAAATGTAAACCTAAACATTCGCAAACGATTTCATCCATAAAAAGACATGAATAAATTTTGTTGCAAGAATCTTGATTTTACATCATAAAGCGAAACGTTTTTTTTATTTTCGTTCGATAATAACATTTTATTCACCGAATTAACTAATAGATATTCTAACAAATTGTTAACAAAACTTCTGCTAATTTCTCTTCGATTCAACAAATTATTTGGATCGATATAATGTAACACGTTCTAAAATTACGATTTGATTACGGATGAAATTGTTATCGCTTTCGAGTAATTGCTTAAGAACTTCTCAATTGTCAATCTCCGACTTGAACCCTAAACCTACCAATCGGTAAAAGTGATTGACGTGTATTGCTTTACGAGAGTAACAAAAATTTAGTTTTCACTATTTTTCATTTTATGAGCGCTTCCATTAAGTTATTCTATCACCAGCAACGAAAGAGTTTCCATTATTTTAACGATTGTCAAGCAAAAACTCTAGAACCGACCATTTTGACCGGCGCGGTAGATTTAGCGTTAGTGCGATTAGAATACTGCCGGCAGATGAAATGTTAACAGCTTAGGCGAATACTGGCACAAAGCACGTGGATGAATCGTACCATGATTCAAAGATGTTTATTTGAACAGTTCGGGCAATTCGAGCCTGAACTCGGTTATTAATGGAGCCGCTGTGGTACGTACTTTTCAGAATGTCAGATCTTGGAGGATGAACGCGTGATTTGACAGCGCGCAGCCTATGAGCACCAAGCGGAGACATGCCGGGGGTAGGAAAAGACTTCCGTGTGTTCGAAACGAAGAGGAAACGGGAATCAGCAGCGCCGGAAGCGGCGTGTCCTCCCAGACGTGGTTCCTTCGTTGTCTAAGAGGCGGCCAGGCGTTTTCTCGCGCGATCGAATTGCACGCGAACCGGCTAAATCGGAGACGGAACGATCGCGGCGAACCGTTCGAACTGGGATCGAGCTTACTTTTCTGCACGAGCCGCTCCTCTCCTGGTTCGCTGGCACTTCTCCTACTACTCCGACCCACGCCATTCGTTTCCACCACCCTGCTGGCTGCTACCCATCTCAATGATCGAATCATTAAGTTCGGAAAGGGTCCTGTCTGCGCGCACAGTGGCTAACTTTAATAATCTACCTGCAGAAATGCCCGAAAAAGATCATGTCATCCCGAAAAATCCAGACCTCGGGTCTTTCTCTTCGAGAAAGTACTTCGTGAGAAGAGCTGGGTAATATTTATAGAAAAAATATTTGAAATACTATTTTAAGTAACAGATCCTTCACGATTCAAATAAAATGGTGTTTCAAATAGGATATAAAATTTCAGTTGATAAAAGATTTTATTTTGATAATCCACAGCTAAAACATGAAATATATGTTTCATTTTGATAATGTAAAACGTAAAATCAAATTATTATAGTAATATTATTAATATTATATATAATTAGTATAATCTAAAACATAAAATAACATAAAGCATAAAATAGAATATTTTCCATAGTTCTTAACTTATAAAATAAGTTGTGAAAATGATTAACGTAACGTAAAACGAGATAATGTAAGAAATCATAATGTTTGTAATTTGCTGTCTTCGGAAGTATTCATTAAGGAACTATATTGAATATATGTTTAAAATTCAAAGAGGAAAAGTGTTT